TCTTTTATTTTATTTATTATAAAGGTATATTTGAAATCAAAAGTTCTCTCTCTACACCACAATATAAATCACTTCTAGAAGAATGACATGATTCAAAATATAAATTACTTGACAAATCAATTAAAATGACTTATTATGGACCAAAGAATATATTTATAATCTATTTATTACTTTTAAATAATTTTAACTAATTTTTTATTATCCGTAAATTAATCATTTAAAGCTTATCACATGAATAAGAGAAAGTAATAAATTTCTTAAAAATAGGATCCACCTCTTTTTTAACTTTCTCTTTCTACTTTTCAAAAACAAAAAACAAAAGTTACTTTTTATTTTTGACTTAAACTGGCTTTTTACACAAAAGTTAAATTATCAAATCATAAATCCAAGCAGTACATATTTTATCCACTACACGTCTAGTCATTCAACTGCATGATAGAGGTATATAAATGCTTTCACCAACCAAGACATTGTTATAAAAATTGCTTATGTGAATACCATAACAGCTCCCATTTGTTTGGGGCTGCAATATTATATCTTATTTTTTTGTAATAGTGAAAAGGATGAGAAAGAATATTGATGAAATTACAAAGATAAATAAAGATACCATAAAATTTAAAAATCATTGAATAATAAAACATTCTTTATTATTATAAGCAAACAAAGAAGAATTTAAATATTTATTTGGTAAACTCGATAAACTACAAATCATTTCTTATAAAATTTATAAACAATCTAAAAACCATTTAATTTTTTCAATATTAAATAAACTTTTGAAGGCATAGTTTTTTGGAAAAATTGCAATGAAAGACCATTAAAATTGAAAAATTGCATACAAGAACCTGTTTACAAAAATTATTGTCAATTGCTTATCAATTGTTGTCAAAACCAATATTAATGTTGTAATGGGCTCCTATTTATAATTTTTTTATTGCTAAAGTCTATTTTATGATTTTTTTCCCACTTTTTCTTTCTTTTTAATAAAAAAAAGATTTTATAGAACTAGCTACTTACACCTTGTCATTAATTAGGATTAGTTCAGGTGATGAAACGAATAAGGTAAATTGTGGAGGAAAAGAATCAGGTCTAGTTCAAGTTCTTTATACTTATTATTTCAAGGGTTATGTGCCTTTTTTTTATATGAATTTATAATTAAATATTATTAGATATTAATATTTTAGAAATAGGACACATGGTCATATGTGGTTAGAGAACTTGACATATTGAACATAAAAAATTAATGGATTATGAACAGAGGGACTAATATTTATGATGAAAAAAGTGATGAGAGTTAACAATAAAATCAATTTTTGGAAAAAAAAAATCAATTATATCAAGATAATAGAAGTAAAGATATGTCTGTGTGTCTACCTTTTCTTTTCTTTATTTTTTTCCGGGTTTTGTTATATTGTCTTGGGAACATAGATGAGGTGTTCAAGTTAAGTAGAAAGTGTGAGGAAGAGGCAACCTGGTAAGGCTTGGTGGAGAGTTGAGAAAGAAAGAGGGAAAAGAGAAGAAGAGGGCAACGGACTGTGGCGGAGAGAAAAAGAAATGGAGAGAAGCCTAGCCCGGTTGGTATAGTGAAAAACACATTTAAATTGTTCACAAATTGATATCATATGTGATTAGTGAAATGAAGAAATTAGGTTTGAATGTTAGAAGTAAGTTTGTACAATGCTAATAATAAATTCCAAATCAACTACGCTCTTATAGGATAAGAGCAACATCGTAGCATGCGATTTATGCAGCATGTGCTTAACAAATATGCAAATAGTAAGCAAACGATAAGATCCTTGCGTCATTGCTGTGTGAGTCGCTGAAAGGTATAATACTTCTATTGATGTCTTTTGACTTTGACATTATCATAGAAATATATTTCAGTGTCTGCTACTTTAGCATACAACCCATGATGATGATTGATGTAATCTAAGGTATTATGCTAGGAAAGCTGCTAGTGCATACTGAAATGATATATGGGCAAAAGGAAGATTTCTTGAAATATACATGCCTATGCTAGTGTCTGAGACATGTCCCCTATGATTTTTGTTAGTTTCATAAGTGTGGACACTATGCATATAAGGAAGGCAATCTGAGTCTTATATTGGCTCGAGAGGGATTAGATTAGCTATAAGAAAGTGTATACAAATAAATCTAGGACATATGAGGTATAATAAAATTTAACAAAAAGCTACGAGAACAAGCTACACAAAGAATGTTGTCTCGTGCTGATCTTGCAAAAGAGATTTCAAGTACAAACACCTAAAATGAAGACGTCTTGCCCATGCGGTTACGGCAAAGCACTTAGTATGAAAAAAAGAAGAGAAGGTGATCCATAATCATTAATCCACCAAACGTGAGTGGGAGATGTTAAAATAAAACTTAATCCACTCTTAGTGGATTAGACCCAAGCCCAAGAGGCTTCGGGTCCAATTGTAAGTTACTAAAAGATTAGGATAGATATTAGTATAATACCCAATTTTTATTTGAATTTTGGTGGGAACTGTTGAGTGGGAGTATGCGCATATCTATCAAGATATGCGCATGATGAGAAAAAATTGCAGAGTAACTTCTCTTTCTCACCCCGGAAAATCTTCTTCCCAAAACTCTTCCCTTCTGTGCATTTGCTATAAACCATAAGTATGTGTCCATACCTATTAACAGACTTCATAGAGGCAAAAAGCATACCGAATATCACCTACGTCCAGGTACGTCCAAAAACCCAATATTAAATTTCTTCACCACTCATGTAACAAATTTCATCGCCATACATACACCAATCAGTGCATACAAACCAATAAAAACTTGAGTGACTATCATCACCCCCTCATCGAGACGCACGGTGTATGGGGTGACGAGGCTGAGGCCAACAAAATAATCGCTTAGAAGGCAGGTGAGAGCTATACGCATGCCTATAGATAGCAGCCCCAACACAAATCTGTGTTTGAGAGGAACCCCACTTACACGCAAGAGGGCAGCACACAGAGATGCCACAAAAGAGATGGTATTATAGTTTATAAAATAGTCAAATCGACGTATCTCAGTACAAGCAAGTACGGCTTTTCCGGGACATAAGTAGCGCTTGTGCCAATATCTATCTTGGACCGGCAAGCAGCCGAGGGGTGCGTAGCCATTGAGAGAAGCATTGTTACTGGAAGTGAGGTTAAAATCAGCATCACTGGGTCTGATATTTTGTTGGATGAGGCCTCCTAGAGGGTTAAATGCAGCTTGAAAGGTTATGGTTGAGATGGCAGTAGCCACCAGACTCAGATTCCCCCTCATGTCTTCTAACCAAACTCCATTATACTTAATCCATTTGTCTGTACTTTCCAAAACATTGCTTCATGACCACTTCTTCATTCCACTTCTTTCTTCTCCCCTAGCAATATCAGTCCTTTCTCTCTTTCCACGTATGTCTTCTGTCTTCTATCTTCTTCTGTCAACCAATCATAGCATAAGTCGAAGCTTTACATTTCAATTTCATCTTTTCCTCCTATTTAAATATTTCAAACTTGAGGTTAAAGTCAAATTATCTGTAATATCATAATAATAATAATAATAAATGAATTATTGTTGTAGAATTATAACCGGCCGGGGTGGGATCATTTGAAGATAGGGCTCCATTTCCTTCCTTATAACCCATTGGCCCGAAATTTCTTCAATTTTTCCTCCATTGACCCTATCATCCATTTGCTAATGACTTAATTTGCCGGTGATTCAACTATTGGGAAAAGTCAGCAAACTATCTAAAGGGACTAAACTATAAACTGAAAACTATAGCCATTTTTCGTATCAGTACTCGTTAATAAATTAAATAGGCAAACTAGCTAGCTATATGGCAAAGTTTACATATGTATTTTTTTAATTCAATTTTTATCCCAGTTTGCAAAATATCATCAAGTGAACAGCATCTGTCATGCTTTATAACACAAGGAAATGGCACCAATACTCCAGATTTAACGTTTCAGCCTATAAATAATTCACGGAAAATATAACCTCTTCATGTAACAAGAAAACTGTGTGTGTGCAGACATAAAAGGAAGAATAACATCAATCAGACCTCCACTTGCTTGGACAACGGTGTTTCCCACTCCATCAGAACTCTTGAAGTGAAGAAGCCTCAAAGAAATGGGAACTTCCAATTCCACCAAACCCTTGAGAGTCTCCAAATGATTGTGTATCACACATAAGTGAAATACAGTGTTTCCATTACCAACAAAGCTCAGAGACTCAGGCTTCGCTTTTACCAACTCTTTCACAACCTCTATTCTCCCTCTGATAACTGCATAATGCAAAGGAATTTTGCCCTCTTCATTAGGAAACAAGCATGGCTTGTTATTAACTTTAGGCAGTTCCTTCGCAATTTCGATGTGACCTTCTGCAGGAGCCAAGTGGAGGGGTGTGTTCTGGGAAGAGTAAACCTCAATGGCTAGTTTGGATTTGTATGTGAGATGCGGCTTGTTGGATTCAAGCTGGCCAAGCAAAGCTGATATGTGTAAAGGAGTTTCGGAGAAGCCACTTTGTGAGATCTTGTGGAGGATTAATTGTTCTTTATGCAAAGTGAGTTCAACGTTTATACAGACCCTTTGGTTGACGCTTCATGAAGAACGCTCAATCTGTCCTCGTCACCATGAGAATTCCCCATTTTGATTATAGTCGTCTTTCTTGCTCTCTGGCGTGAATGCCAAAGGCGTAGTTATGCTTCATCTATATACATAATAAATAAAAATCAGAGTATAGCCGAGCCATTTTTCTGTCCACAATGGCTCCTCACTCATTTTACTGTTCTATGAACAGTGTTGGCTTTATGAACAGTACTGGCTGCTTCTTTGGGCTTTGTGCAAGGTATGACTTCTCTTTGATTTGTTGCAGTATAACTTACCCGTAAAATTATCTCTTTTGAATTTTAAATTTTGAAATTCCCTCCATGCTCATATTCATTGATTCATTATTTCTTCTCCCTCTTTCATTTTCTACATTTTTTTCATTTTCATCTTGAGTCGTCTCCGTTCTTTCTTCTTTTCTCTTCATCTCTATCTCCTTTCATCAAGAGAGATTTGTTTCCTTCTTATCCATTCAGGTACACATCTCCGTTCTCCCTCGCTTTCTTTTCATCTCTTTTGGCTCTCTCTTACCATGGATTCATCATCTCCCCTGCTCTTCATTCAAAACGATGTTCAGCATGCTTTTAAAATGCAGACTATGATAGAAGGCAGAGAGTGGATATGCCAAAACTATAAACCTGATGGCTTAAGTAGCAGTGGTTTGAGCGGCCATGCTACCAAGTATATTTCTTCTAGGTAAATCCAAGCAAGATTTCTTTTGGGTTTTTGGATTATTATGCATTTTCAGTTGTTTGGATTTTTATTATAAATATTTTTGCCCTCTTGATGTTTTCCGGGATTTTCTTTTTTCACAAGATCTTCCAAAAAATCTTTGCCATCACACGGTATGGTGACAAGAAAACTGGGATTTGGTCAATACCGTGAGTGCAATTTTATTACTAAATATTCTCCACTTGTGCAACGGTTGGTAATGGACAATGCGTTGTGAGTTATAGTTCCAGGAAGTGTGTTATGGTCTAGCAACTTATCCATCATTTCCTATATTTTGAATCTCTTAATTGTTGGTTTTAATAAGTCTATGTTTTCATAATCAGTTTTTATCCACTATCTTTTATTTAGGAGTTTCATCAGAGGAAGGGACAGTGATGATTTCTACATTCTTGCCTCAGAATATGGTGTGAATTCAGCCTTCCCTAATATTTGGTGCCTCAACATCATATGGTCATTACCCCTGGTGCATTTTGTTTCTAAAGCCTTCTCCATTCAAATCCATATCTCATGGCTGCATGTTAGTTAAAGTTGCTAATCTTTATGTCACCGAAAAACTTTGATGATCTTTAAATTGTTCTTAAATCTAAAATCTCATGATCTAATCAATATTGTGGTTGATGTATAAAAAACTGAATTTCGAATCACATCTCCGCTCTATCAATATATATATATATATATATATATATATTCTATTTGACTTTTGACTCCTGCTATAGCGTAAATTAGGGATAGTATGCAGGGCCTCATTGATTGAATTAATCGCATAGTAGAGATGGATGAAACAACTGACTGAATGTGTATTCTTCCTTTTTGTTAGATAAGGTTACAACTACGGGATGTGATTTGGAATTGAAGGAAATAGAGAGATTAACGGATTTGAAGATCAGTGGAGAGAGAAACAACGATGGGTAAGTGTCTTGCTTTTTTAGCATGGAGTGGTTTGCTGACCAAATCTTCAAATGAGACATTGGAGAAGTTGAAAAAACTTAGAATTAGTGGGTCCAACTTGCCCAAAGATATTCAACTGTAGTCATATTTGGTTCCTATGTCCATTCTAATGAGTAATTCTCGAGAACAATTAAGCTGAGTTGAAGTATCGATGAGTTGAAATAATGTGCTGTTGAAGTTGAACTTCCCTTTGATTGTCGCTTTGGGGTTACTCCAAAAATTAACCGAATTAATGCAATATAGTGCAAAACTCGGGTCGTTTCACTTTGAGGAGCCGAAAACGTAATTAAACCCTAGTAAATAAATGCAAGTAACCTAAATTATAAAAAGAGATTTTTGATTTTGAAAAGCTGTTAATTAAATACTACGAATCAAATTGAAATTAAAATACTTTTTTTATATTTTCTTTTATATAAAAGATGATTGAAATAACTGAAAATAAAAGAAATGAAAATGAGACACACAAATAACACTGATAAAAATCAATCCTCCAATTCAACAACGCAGGTAATCATCACTCTAAAAGATGTGGGAGTTAAAAACAATGAATTAATAATTATAATTAAGCTTTTGATCCAACAACCGAGCCACCTCGAGTTGCCACAAAATATTTTCCTAAAATCTCAACTTACTAACTGCAACCAGAATAGTAAAATGGGATTAAGGATGCTTAAAACCAATGCTTAATTAGAATTCTTAAATCCAAAATAACAGAATTAAAGCTAGCAAGAGACTATATGATCCAAAATTCTAAGCCACCTTAGAAAATCACAATATATTAATTCCAAAATCAATACAAATGTCATAACCACAACATTATAATTGAGATCAAAACTATAAACAGCCCAATGTCAAATACTAAGCAATAATTCAATCACAATAATCTCCAAATATAATCAGATTAAGCAATACAATTATCCCAACAATCAGAAAAACTATCCTAAGACCTAGGAATTGTTAAACAATTATTGAGTAAGAAATTAAAGCAACTAAAACTCCCCCTTGATGATCTAAGCTCCTGCCATTGTTGTTGAATTAGAGGATTATTAAGCTCTAGCCATGGATTGCCATAAGAAATGCCACAATCAGTATTTTGCTACAGGATCCCATGGAAGAACGCAGCCGCCGTCGTGTTCGTTCTCTGGTCCTTTCTCCAGCCGCGCCCAGCTCCCTCTTTTCGTTCGGCGTCGCGTGTGTGTGTTCCGTGTATGTGTGTGTTTTCCGCGCCGCTTGCGTGTGTGTCTTCGGCCGCCTGCGTCTCCCGCCTCCTCAAAAGATGAAGAATAGATGGATATTAGGTTGGGGCAAAACGCAACGTTTTGCCCCCCCTAATTATTATTATTTTTTTATTTTTTATTTTTTATTTTTCTTTCCTTTTTCTTTTTTTCTTTTCTTTATTTTTTTTCTTTTTATATTTTTGAATCTTCCAAGAACCTGCAAGCAAAATTCAAGGATAAGGTAGCATTAATTGTCCTCAAAAATCAATTAGTCATAATTAAATCAAAATATGACAATTTTGCCCCTATAAAATAATAATTCAAAATAAAATAAATTAAATCAATTACGGCAAAAAGGGACCAATTAAGTTGACAAAACCCATATAAAAGATACCAAAATATATAAAAATAATTGAGTTTGTCAGCTGTTAATTTTTCATTACCGCGTCTATGCTGTCAAAAATTCTCTAAGAAGTCAATAGCTTTAATCTCTAAGTTATTAATTAGTTGTTTTTGTTTTCTCAGTTGGTGATTTTATCTATCCATCTATAATGTTCTCAATAATCTTATAATTAGTCTCCTAATTGCGTCAAAAAGAAGATAGCCATTGATTCTCATATTGCTACAGTTGAAATATTTAAGTTCTTTCTCTTATATTCTATGTCAATAGGCATCTATATATTTTGTTAAAGTGGTTTATCGTCCTTTGTTCCAAGTTGGTTTGCTTAGGAACCAATCTTTCGTGTTTTGCTGATTGGATTTATCCTTGCATTTTGTTCACATATTAATCAAATACTAACTGATAAGCTTTAAGGTATATTGAATAAGTCATACTAATAATTGATAATAAGGAAACTCTTTATTTATTTATTTTTGATAAGAAGGAAACTCTTTATTTAGGTGACACTGAAACAAGGCAATAGATTTGTCCACAGCTGTGATAGAAGTTTGATAAGTGCAGGTAAATAAATTGGAACGACAAGCAATTATTTGCATTAACTATTGCAAAGTTTTCATTCATTCATCATTCTCCATAACTTCTACTCATAAAATTGAAGTTATGCATAATGTATGAACCAAGTTTGAGAAATGCAAGTCTCTAAATTGAAATGAGGCATTAATTCCTCAATTTTTCCGTCGTTATATATTGATTGCATAAAACTTGAGAATGGAAACCTAACTACCCATAGTATTGTTAGAGCAAAGTTTATATATATATATATATATATATATATATTTAGAGGACAAGTGAAGCTCTTGGGCAATGTCTGCCATGCAATATGTGGAGTACATTTACATAGTCATGGTCATTTGTGTTATGGTTGCTAAATGTGCACCATTATTTTTGATTCATGTGTTCCTTAAAGTTGGTTATTGACCTTTTTATTTTTAAGGAATTGCACACCCATGGTGCAATTCTGACTATGAAATGGTGCATGTTTTTTCTTGGTTAGCTTGCATGAATTATGTTTCATAAAAAAAGGACTTATATGAATGTAACTTACACTCATTTGTTTTTTTCTTGGTTATGCACTGTTTATGTATTGTTACTCTGTCAAATCTAAAACATAATATCATATCAAACCCATGTTTATATTTCCTAAGATATACTCGATGAATAATGTTTACATTAATTGTGGTGTTTGAATGTTGTTTTGTTCCTTTTTACCTCTCTAAATTTAAGTTTTAAGTCCCTGCTAAGTTGGTGAATAAATTTGAGCATTCGTAATAGGTTGGTGGCCGTACAATGAGCTTTTTCTCCATGAACTTTAGAGTGGGAAATTATTTGTCATTGTGCTAAGCTTTGTGGTCATTCCTCTTGATGTTTTTATGGGTAGCTGTTGGGTTTATTGATTATTTGATATATATTTCTAATATCATTTAGCTCCTTATTTCATGTTTATACAGATTTGTAGTAGGACTAGAGTTTTACATTTAGTATGTAGTTATATTTAGGACTGGAAGGAGTATTTACACTACAAAATGGGTTTTATATTTAGGATCGAAGAGAGTATATAAGAGAAACATATAAACATGATATATCATGAATTATTATCCTAAAAGCAACCCATGCCACTTGTGACCGGCCTGAGAATAAATAGCATTAGTTGAGATGTGATCTATAAAGAAACGGCATTAACTTTCTCTAATTCCACATGGCAACAGCTTTCTGATTAGTCTGGCACATTTCTTCACGATCCAAATTATAAACCGCGGTGTGATTAACACAACAATCAGCACAAGCAATCGAGACCAGGCCCAAATTGAGGCTGCAAGGGTGCTCCAACCTGCTTTATTATTCCAAAGATGGCTTGGCATCACCCTACAAAGAACAGTTAAGTAAGTAAGGGCTAGGGTTGTGAGAGTGATACGCATGCCTATGGATAAAAGCCATATCAAAGCTTTGTTCTTCATAGGAACTCCACTCACAAGCAAGAGGGTGACGCTAAGTGATGAAATGAAAGAGATAGTGTTGTAAATTACAAACTCCAAAAACAGATCTTGGGAACTAAAAGGTGAGACAACTTTCCCAGGACAATAGGACACGTTGTTAGGAAGGAAAGTGCACTTTAGGGCTTCAATATTGGATGAGCCTTGAGATAAACCTTGTTGGATGAAGCCACCAGGTGGGTTTATCAATGATTGAAATCTTATGGCGGCTATAACAGTAGACACTAAACTCAGATTTCCTCTCATTTCTTCTACCCAGTCACCCTTGTGTTTGAACCAGCCTCCAATCCATTTCAAAATCGTTATGAAGCAGTTTCAATTCTTCTTTCGAGTTTGAGGTTTTGGTCTTGCAACTGGTGGTGACGAGTGTGAATGCGTGTGGATTCCGTTCTTCCCAATTCTAATTGCAGAATAGTCCATCAGCGTGACTTGTATTTTTGAGGTTTTGAAATCTTTTGGATTACGTTTAAGGATGTCATAGGCTGTAAGACCCATATCGTTCTTCAAGCTTGCCATTTCTAGTACATTTGGGATTGATAGGAGGTATCTTATAGTGTGAAATAATAAACTTACATGTCAGTATATTGTGGAAGTGTCATATATGACTTCGGGGCGGTTAAAAAAAAAAAAGACCCAAAAATTCATGAAAAATATAACTCGTTCAGGTAAAAAGAAGGCTCTTTATGTCAGGAAGGATATCATACCTCAACTTGCTTGGATGCGATTGCTAAATGCATGGAAAACGGTGTTGCCCACTCCATCAAAAATTGCGAAGTTAAGAAGCTTCCCAGAAATGGCAACTTCCGATTGGAACTGTTAAGTGATTATAGTTGAGTGTGCTGGGCCGTAAGCCCAAGATACTTAGCCCATTATGGGTCCATGCATTGTATTAAAAATGTTGGCAGTTCAATCAATAATACTCGCTTTGGTGTTGTTCATCAAATCCAGATTGTTGTTATGCTCTTCTTCACATGGTACCAAGAGCCAGGTTCGGTGTATCCAAGGCGGAAGTCGAAGCCCCAGCATCCCCTCACCTGTAGAAATCACTGCAGTGCTACAACGCTGTCGTTTTAGAAACACCATCTGCAGAACGCAAAGTCAAGATCGCGGTCTAGCAGGGTTTCACAATTCCTTCTGAATCAATATTCATCTCGCCGTTTTCACAAAGCTTCGGCTCACCCAGAACAGTACGCGAAACCGCCATTTCAATCTATTTGCTGTTTCCTCATTGAAGTAAATCAAGAATCCGCGATCTGTTGCCACAGCGACTCTAAAGATTT